GAGGGGGGGGAGGGGAACAACCCTCCGGCTTCCCTCACGGGGCGCTGTTTCGGGACAAGTCAGTTCCCGCCAAACCCCCCCTCACTCATATTTTTCTTCACTCTCCCCCCCCACCCACCACCGGGGGATGTGTTGGGTGGGCGGGGACACGCAGGAGTCCTGAGCTGGAAGCCGCCGCCGCCGCTCTCCGTCTCTCCCGCTCCCTCAGCCGGAGGCGCCCGCCATGTTCGGGGCAAGCGGAATGAGGCCACGCACCGTGCGCCTGACGTCGGCGCGTCCCCGACGTCAGTGCGTTGGTCATGGAAGGCGGAGCCTAAAAGGCATCGAGTGGGCGGGGTCACATGGGACGTGGGGCGGGATAGAGTGGGGGTGGGGTTTGGGGGGGGTCAGACAAGGGGTTGGGGACAGGGGTCAGAGTGCAGTGTGGAATAGGTGTCAGGGTGGGAGTGGGGATGGGGTGGGGGTCGGAGAGTGGGTGGGGAACAGGGATCAGGGTGGGGGTTGGGACAGGGGTCTGTGGGGTGGAGAACGGGGTCAGGGTGGGGTCTGAGACAGGGGTCAGAGAGGGTGTCAGAGAGGGGTTGGGGGACAGAGTGGGGGCCAGAGAGATGGTGGGGACAGGGGTCAAAGTGGGGATCAGAGTGGGGGTCAGAGGGTGGGTGGGGAACAGGGGTCAGAATGGGGATCAGAGAGGGGGTTGGAAATAGGAATCAGGGTCAGGGTTGGGACAGGGGTCAGAGTGGAGGTGGGAAACATGGGTCAGAGTGGGGAATCAGAGTAGGTGTGTGAACAGAGGACGGAGTGGGGATCGGAGTAGGGTTGGGGAACAGGGGTCAGAGTAAGAGTGGGTGGTTCAGAGTTGGAGTGGGGGCATCAGGGTATGAATGTCCGTGTTGGAGGTCAGCGTGGGAGTGCAGTGGCACAGTAGTCCGTATTCGATTGGGGGTGTCAGGTTGGGGGTGAAGTGCTGGGATCAGAGGGGGAGTGAAGGGGGTAGAGATGGAATTGGAGGGCAGAGTGAGAATGGGAGTGGCAGAGTCAGAGTGGAAGTGAGGAACAAGGGTCAAAATTGGAGTGGGGGCGCAGAGTGAGGAGTGGGTGTCATAGTGGGTTTGGGGGTCAGCATACAAGTGGGTGTCATAGTTGGGTTGGGGAACAGCAGTCTGAATGGGGTAAGCCATAGTGGGGGTGTCAGAGTGGGGTGGGTTATGGGGATCAGAGTGGGAGTGGAGGTTCAAAATGGGATTGGGGTGTTAGAGTGCAGGTGAGGGTGGGTCAGAGCTGGAATGGGAGTAAGTCAAAGTAGGAATGGCAGTGGATCAGAGTGGGGTGGTGTTGTGTCATAGTGGGAATGGGTCAGAGTGGGGTGGGGGTAGGGTCAGAATGGGAATGGGTCAGAGTTGGCATCTTCTCCAAAATGACCATGAGAACAACTTCATCTCCCTCCTCAGTGCCCTGTCCCTGACAGTGATAGCGCAAGTTTGTTTTGTATGTTTACACGTTTTTGCTTCATCCTTTCATAAGACATACTTTTAGCCACACTATAGGAAAGATGTTGACTGCACAAGAGAGGGTGCAAAGGAGATTCGCCACTACCTAGACTAGGTTCCAATTCCAGAATTATTATTTGAATTCAAATTCCACTAGCAAACATTGAGAGATTTGAATCCACGTTCCCAGAGTATGAACCTCTGGATTAATAGCACCGGAACCATATCTCCCTAAATTTTATTGCCTTTGGAGAAGTGTTAACAGGTTGGTTATTGACCTGTTCAAACCATACACATGTCTGGACTGGGACTTGAAACCAGAGCTTTTGGCTCCAAGACAGGAGCATTACTATTTGAGTTAGAAAGCCACCTAAATGGACCAAAATAAAAAAGGTGCTTAAGGGAGTTCGTCAGAACAGGAAGAAGCCATTCAGTCCATCAATCCCATACTACTATTTGAACAGATTATGGTTGACCTGTGATCTAATTCTATTGACCCACCATTGCCCCATATTCCTTAATAACTTGCATCAACAAAAATCTATCAGTCTTCCAATTAAAATTAGCTATCAAACTAGCATCAACTTTCATTTGTCACAGAGAATCCCAAATTTCTACCACCTGGCAGGTCTGACTCTGATTTTTAGACCATATCCCCTAGCCCCAATTTCACAATCAGCAGAAATAGATTATATCAAAGAAAGAAACACTTGTATTTATATCAGCCCTTTTATGACCACAGGATGTCCCAAAGCACTTTACACCTTATGAAGTCCTTTTGTAGTCTGGCAGCTCTTGTAACCAAGAAATGCAGCTGATAATTTGCACACTGAAAAATCCTACAAACAGTAATGTGATTATGATCAGATTTTTGTGTTGTGGATTAAGGAATAAATATTGGCCGGACATTGGGAATACCATGATCTTCTTTGCAACACTGCCAAGGGATTTGTTTATGTCCACCAGAGAGGGCAGGAAAGGCCTCAAAGTCAAAACCCAGCACTTCCAACATAGCAACACTCCCTCAGTACTGCACTGCATTATGTGCTTAACCATCTGATCCAGAGGTAACAGTCCTGCACTGACTCCAGTCTAGCTTATACCTTAGCCCTATTCTGAAAATTTCAATCAAATCACATGCTTTAACCTTCTGAGTTCTAGGAGATACGCCCTAGTTTGTGTAATTTCTTCCAGTAATTTAATTCTTGATATCCAGGTATCATTCTAGTAAACCTACATTCCATCCCTCCAAGGCCAAATGTCCATCCTAAGGCATGGGTCCCAGATATGCTCGTAGTTCAGGTGTTTGTATAACTGGGGCTTTGTATAACTGTTGATAACTTTCTCCACCTTGTACATTGCCTGTCTAGAGATAATGGCCACCATGCAATTAGCTTTTTCGATTTTTTTGATTTAACTTCCCTGACATTTTGCAGATCAATGGACAAGGAACCTCTTTGGGCCTCCACTGTTTCTAGCTTTACACCAGTTAAGGTCCAAAGTAGATTATCTCAATTTGCCTACATTGAAACCCATTTGCCACCACTCTTCTTTTTCACTTAGTCTAGCGATATGTGTGACATGTTACACTACCAATCTAATGTCATTGCTATCTCCTCATCTAAGTCATTAATACATAGTGTGAATATTTGTAATTGCAGTATTGATTTTACAGCCTCAACATCTGCTGTTCAATCCAGAAGTGCCATACACTCTGGGTACAATCCATCATTCCCCCAAAACAGATGGATAACATCCAACCCAATTTTTGTCAGATTTCACAAGTCACATCCTGCCAGTTAGAGAGTATCTCTCCATTGCCCTAATTTTCTGTCTCCTGCTTCTCAGCCATGTCCTGAACTGATCTATAATTGGCATTCAGTTGTCTGAGAAGGAACTTTATGAAGTGCCTTTTGCAAATCCATATAATTGCAAATTACTTCTTAGACTGTTACTTTAGTCGCCTGTTTGAAAAATTAGACCTGGATCATCTGACCTGATCTACCCTTTATAAATCCACACTGACTCTTTCGCTCTGATCATTTGACCACTTTCAAGATGTTCTGTTACTCTATCCTTAGATCTGTATTGTAGTAATTTCCACACAACAGATGTTAGGCTAATTGGTATAATTCTCTGTTTCCCCTCTATTATCTTCTTAAAATAACAGAGTGACATATACAATTTTCCAATCTAAGTGAACAGTTACTGAATCTAGAGAAGCTGGAATATTATAGTTTGGGCATTTGCAATGTTCTTGCTTACTTCCTTTAAAATCTAGGATGGAAGCAACTGGTTGCTTCTGGGGAATAATAGCTGTTTTGTACCATTATTTTCTTCAGTATTACAATTAAATGTGTGGATTATGATGAGTCTCTCCCCGTAATTCAATAATAGCTTCCTTGGGAATATGAAATCCTTGATTTAGTAAGTAGCATGGCAGAACATTTGCAGCACTTAAGGAAGTCATTTGGCCCATCAAGTTCATACCTCGCCTCAAGGGCAGTTCACCAGTATCCTGTAATCCTGCAAAATTTTAATGTTATTGAAGACTGTGGAATACAAGAGCGACAAATTTTATGCTCAATCTTAAAGAACACTAGTTATGTGCCAGCTAGATTGTACAGTTCTCTGCATGGCACTTTAGGAAAAATGTCAAGCCTTTAGAGATGGCACAGAGAGGTTAACAAGAATGGTATCAGGGATTAGGGACTTCAGCTGACGTGGAGAGACTGGAGAAACTTGGATTGTTGTCCTTAGAGCAGAGAAGGCTAAAGCAATGTTTTGAAAGTTGCTCAAAATCATGAAGACTTTGATTAGGCGAATAAGGAGAAACTATTTTTAAGGTAATTGACAAAAGAACCAAACATGATGTGAGGAAAAATAATTTGACACAGCAAATAAAATTGGATAAAGGGGGGAAAGCAGGAGAATGGGAATAATTAGACACCTCTTCAAATTGCTGTCACAAGCACAAAGGGTCGAATGGCTTCCTTCTACGTTATATTTTTCTATGATTCCATGTTCAACAATTCACCTTTTTCACTGTGGTTTAATTCCTACATTGAGTAATCGGACTTTAGTAAAGCCTTTGACAGGGTTCTGCATGGTAGACTGCTTAGTAAAGTTACATCATGTGGGATTCAGGGAGAATTTACCATTGGATACAAAATTGGCTGTACAGTAGCAGACAGGTGGTGGTGGAGTGTTGTTTTTTCAGACTGGAGGCCTGTGACCAGTGGTATTCCGCAGGGATTGGTACTCATTCCACTATTGTTTGTCATTTATATAAATGAATTGGATTCGAATTTGTGAAGCGTAGTTAGTAAGTTTGCAGATGACACCAAAATTGGTGGTATGGTGGACAGTGAGGAAGGTTATCTAAGATTGCAAAAGGATCCTGA